TTATATAGAGTTCGCCAGGCCCCTCCAGCTCTCAGTAATGCAAGGTTTAAAGTACATTAAGACTGGGGGTTACTGGTAACGCCCCTAATAAAGTGCTATGATGACCATAAAAGCTACTTAATGACCGACCGTTTGCGTGTAGGGTGACATTAGATCTCCTGGCGGTCGAGTGATTTCTTCGTGGTCGAGTGTCTTGAATCTTTCGAGTGGGATACCTCCAAGTCGATTGAAAGGTGACTTCTTCTAGGGATGTCCTTGGGTAGGGTACTTAGGACAGGTCCATGCCCCTATCCTAGGTACATAGCTTCATCAGGGCCAACAAGGGGTGTCTCGTGAATCGAAATCGACCACCAGGGCTGGCTGCTAGAGCCTCATTGTAGCTAGGGTTTTGCATGAGGCCATGAAGCCATGGAAGATCACGACACTCGCATCGCTCCAGGGGCGGCTCGGGCGATCCAGATCTCAGCCGCCGCCGCCGCTTCGTCCCCCTCCACCTCTATCCCTCACTGCCGCCGGAGGAAGTCATCGGGCTAGCCTGCAAAGGTGACGGTGGCGGCATGCCTTCATCTCCTCGCGCGGCAGGTGGCGGCGGGATCTTAGGCTACTGTAGATCGGCGGCCCTGCACGTCGAGGTGCACGCGGCGGAGACGGGCACCGGGGCAATGGCCCCGGTCTTCTTCGGCTACCTTGGCGACCACTGTGGCCGCGAGGGTGGCATGACACATGGTTCTGGGGACTCGGTGCGGCAAAGCCCCTCATCTTCGTGTGGTGCGGGTGGTGTCCACTCAGATCTCTGGCCTGCTCTTGGGAGCCGGCAGGCGACGGCGTGGGGACCGTCGTTCTGCCTAATAAAGTGGGTGGTCCTAGGGTTCCTCTCGCGCCAAGACAAAGATCTGCTTCATGCTTGTCCTCCTTGATCTGGCCAGAGTGTCAAGTTCCGGAAGGCTCCGCCGGCGAACTCCCTTGGGAGCCTCATGCCTGGAGATTGCTAGATCGGATTTTATTCGGTCGTGCGCACCCACATTTTTTCCGACCGTTTGATTTCTGGAGGGAGCGGTGCGAAGCTCTGCTATTTGTTGCTATCATGGGACATGTCTTTTTCATTCCATGGTGAAGTCAGAGACAGAGAATGTCATGGAAGTTGTGATATGAGGACTACTAGTGGTGGTTCAAGTCTTTGCGGTGATGAGGAATTTGCTTGGTGTTCCAGGACTCGTAGCAGCGACAGGCAAATGGGGGCGACAACACAGGAGAAGTTCAAGGTCTTACCTTTCAGGGTGAAAATTCAAGGTCTGACCTTAATTGGTTGTGCCTGGCAATGGCCTTTTTGAAAACATTGTTTTGAGAGCGTACTTTCTTCAGGGCAAAAATTTATGATCGATGATCAGGCGTCTTGATGGTGTTTATATTGTTGCTTCGAGGAATAGATCATTGTAGCGGGATTTCTCCTTTTTAGCCTTTTCCTTTTCTTTTTTCTATGTGCATCCGTAGTGTTATTAGGGTATTGTGTTGTTGCATAAGCTGGTATAATTGGTATTTCCGTGATATTAATATATTTCTTTGTTAAAAAATGAAGCCATGGAAACTAGATCCCCGTGAAGATGTGCACCGTGGAGAGAAAGAAGCGAGGCTAGCATGGTACCAGTAGGGGCGACCATGTAAGGGCATCTCCAGCCGTTGGCCCCCCAGGGGGCGTCTAAAAGCGCCGCCTGGGGGTGAGCCGGCGCAAAAAATGGCCCTGGGGCGAGTCGGTCCCCAGGGCCGCCCCCAGGCGCGTATTAAAAAAATGATCATTCGGCAAAGTTATGATAAAAACTAGTTAAATTTCGGCCAAACATGGCAAATTTCAGTGAAATTCGCGCATTTTCATTACATTAACCTAATCTAAAAAAGAAAAGGGCTGAAGTTGTCGCCGCCGTCGCCGCCATCGTCGTCGTCAGCCTTCTCCTCCTTTGACGCGGGCGCCCCTGCTGGACTCCTGCCCGGCGTCACCATGGCGGACTGGCGGCGGCACGTCGTCGTCGTTGTCGCTATCGCATAAGACGACGACCTCGTCTTCAACGCGGCCGTGTCGGCGCTCCTCGAAGCGGCGCAGGGCGGCGCGCTGGCGCTCCTTCTCCTTCTCCCGGCGTGCCTTCTCCATCGCAATGGAGTCCTGGCGCGCCCATTCTAGGGCCGCGTCGTCGTCGTCGAACTCCGCCTCCACCGGCGCCAGCCCCGGCTCCGTCTTCACCGGCGCCAGCCCCGACTCCATCTTCGGCTTGACGAAGCGCGGAGGAGCCGACGAGGAGGGGGTGCGCCGGCCGCCCTCGTTGATGACGATGCCGACGCTGCGAGTGCGCAGACCGATTGGCGTCTCCGCCGCGGGCTCGGCCTTGACGCCGAGAAGCGCCGGAGAACCGGAGGAGTGGGAAGATGAGCGAGAGGAGGAAGACGAGGAGGAGGCGAACCTCCTTGGCGCCCATGCGCGTCGGTGTTGCGACGGGGCGGCCCCGTCGCAGGATAGGTCAACGGCGGGTTGTTGCCGCCGTCGAGGTGCGTCAGCACGCCCTCCAGCGTGCGGCCCGGGACGCCCCATCACAGGTGGCGCCCCACGCTGTTCTTCACGCCGCCGACCACCGGCGCGTCGTTCGTGGAGGCCAGGCGGCGCTGGAAGTACGCCGCCCAAGCCGCGTGATTGCCGGCGGCGTACTGGGGGAGGGAGCGCTCGTCGTCGGTCAGGGAGGCGCGTGCGACCTCGACCTCCTCGGCAAAGTACGTGGGCTTCGCCACGGCGTCGGGTAACGGGGGAACGGGCACTCCCCCGTCGCTGAGCCGCCACCCCGTCGGCCCGGCGCGCATGTCCGGCGGCGCCAGGATGTCCACCTGGAACAGGAGCCAGGACTCCTGTTCGCGGAGCGAACGCTGGCCGAAGCCGTTCGTCGCCGCCTCGTCTCCGGGGAAGCGCTCTACCATGGCGACGGGCTTGGCGGTGGTAGAGAGGGAGAGAGAGGGGCTGCCGGTGGCGCTCGGGAGAGGAAAACGGAGACGGAGAGAGAGGGGCTAGGCGGCGGCGAGGGGCGAGTCTGGTGTGGGCACTGGCGAGAACCGCCGGCTTTTATAGCCGCTCCGCGCCGTGTGTACGCGCGCGAGGGAGGGGAGGCGTCGGCGCGCCGTCCCGAGACGCGCCGCCCGTGAGGAATCAATGGCAAGGCTGACCGGCGGCAGCCTTGCCATTGATTCCCCCCAGGAACCGAGGCAGTTGGGGGGAAGACGAGCCACCGTGTCCCTGACGCGACTGGCCCGCGGCTTTTTCGCGCCAAAACAGTTCGCCCCGGCGCCCCCGGGCGCCCCCCAGCGCGCCGGGTTCGGCTTGGGTCCGCCGGCGCTGTTTTCGGCCCAGGCCAGCGAAAATCGGGCTCCTAGGGGCGCGACTGGGCCGTTTTTTCGGCGCCGGCGCAAAAAAAAACGCCTGGGGAGGCCTTCCTGGGGGCGCGGCTGGAGATGCCCTAAGAGGCATGTTGTCGCCGCCCTCACATAGAGCAAACCAAATCCACTTCAATCGGTGATGGTCTGGCATCACCGCTTTTATGGATTATATACGGAGTAAAATAAATGAATCTACACTCTAAAAATATGTCTATATACAATCATATGTAGTTCGTATTAAAATCTCTAAAGAAAATTATATTTTGAAACGGAGGGAGTATTATGAGTTTTTTCCTTCCCTTTTTTTGATATTTATTTTTCCTTTTAATTTTTTAAATGTGATTATTCAATATATGAAATTCTTTTAAAATAACCTTTAAACACTTATTGAATACACGTTGGATATTTTTCAAATACCCGATGCACATTTCATTAAGAAGTGTTGTATGCAAGTTTTTGTTCACGCTTTTTAAGAAATGCCCATCTAACAAAAAACTACTCACATTTTGTAAAGTAGTTGCTCATTTGTTTATGTAAAATAAAAACAACAGGAAGGGGAGCAAACTGAAAGAATACAACAAAAGTCATCCAAACCCGCTCATTAAAACGTAAACTGGGCTGTTAGCCCACAAGGTTGCCCTATTAGGTTCGTTCGACTATCTCGCACCGCAGTGAGCACCCCTCAAAAAAACAAAATCTGCCACAGTGAGCAGCAGCAATTAGGAGCTGTCAATATCGCCCATCAAGACTCATGTCCCAATCTTTTCATCCAATAATCTCACTCATATACTCACTTCGTCCATAAATACTTGTAGAAATATTTTTACGACAAGTATTTCTGGACGGTGGGAGTACAAACTATAAGGACATGGATACATTTAGGGCGCACACAAGATGAAGGGTCCAATTTATTAGAGTTGCCCGATTCTTTCACAGAAATAGCATCCCGAAACATCCGGACAACTCAGCTGTTAATCAACAATAAAAATCCCTTTTTTCCAACAATAATTGTAAAAGCATCTTTTAGTATGACCAGGCTTAAAGCCTGCTAGATGAAACACTTCAACTTTCCTCGACCCATTTCTTCACCCAAGCAAAAGTGGGAAATTGGAAGAAAGCAGGCGAGGCAGAAAAAAGCCGCCTGCCCCGAAAGAGAACACAAGTAAAGGTGGGCGGTGAGGAAAGGCAAAATAAAACACATGGCTTCTCCCAAGTTTCTTCCACTCCACCAAGCATAGCTCCTCCCAATTCAAAAAAGAAAAGGTGTAGTAGATTCCCTGTCTTCTCCAAAGGCTCGCATGCTTTCTCCTCCTCTCTCTAAAGGTTGACCTC